TGTCAGATTCCGATCGTCCTTTTAGTGTTGCCTGTGACGCTTCGGACTTTGAATCGGACGTGGACTGCTGCAAGCAGGCGCCGAGGGGCGCGATCGGATGATCGCGTTTGAATCTCGCCAGCTTAAGGCTGCGGAGAGGAGCTATTCAGCTCACGACAAATAATTACTGAAGATGAAGTATGCACTTGTCAAGTTCAGGGTGCATCTAGAGTCGAAGAATTTCAGCTCTGTCGGGACCGATACTTTTCAAGAGAGGAGCCCAGAATTTTCTTTGTCAAAATCAATATGCCAACATTGTGGAGCTGTTAGGAGCGCTGACAATTTCTAGAGCGATGCGCATTTACGAACGACTGCCGAAAATGGTAGACACTTCGCTGATGCATTGAAGATAATGCTTACGGGTATGGTAACTGTTCTTTCGACAAGGAAGCTTTTTCGAGTGTAAAAGTTATAGTAAGCGCTGAGTGAGCTTTGACATTGTTTAAGTGTTTGTTTATATATCGGAGAACAAGCTTAAAAGCTCTTGTATACTCCGACAGCCGAACAAATCAGATAATGGCTAAACCCTAGACAAGTATTAACATTACAGGCCTAGAAGCGCTACAAACGTTTTGAACGCGCTCGCGAAATACGTTCAGGAGCGCCTGAATAGAGCGTCCCAATGCACGGCTCGACCGACTTTTATGATTAGCTTGTTTTTGATGTTTGACGTGCGGCTAGCTCGATGGTACCCGAAGTTGGTTCATCTGCAGAAATTTAAACCTTCTCTGCTGTCCGTGCCCCATTGGATCTCAGCAATAGGTTTGAACAATCAGGTTTTCGCGCAAAGGAACACAAACAATCCCTCACATAGAAAAAAAACAAGTGACAGTAGGCACAATAAGTATTATATTGTATGACATGTAGGTCGCGGTCTATGGGACCTCAGTCTTGAGAGAAAAAAACTCTCTCGAAGAGATTCGGCTTACACCACAGGGCTGTTGGCTACTAATTTTAACGTTCTAAATTCTGAATACAGTTTGCTAAGATAAGGAAGTATCCGTGCGTCTTGCGTAGAGGACACTGGTCAAAGTGTCAAAGCATAGGTAAAATCTCTGTATTAAGTTTCAGGAATTCGATTATGTAAAAGTCATCTCATCCCGAATCTAAATTTGAAACACGCTTTCACCATAGGCATGGCGAAGCTGGATCATAAGCAATGGGTCAACTGGAGATAAAGGTGCAGCGGGGCTGCCGTAGCTCTTTGGTTAGAGGAAGCTAAGCTAAGGTCACCGATCTTACAGTTCCTTCAGAGCGAGCACAAGGTTAGCGGATCGCAAACCGCTACTGCTAAGTACTGAAGCCTTACCAAGGCAAACGAACACTTCTTTGAGAAACAAACCTGCATTTAGTTGTTTTGTTGCGGAAGAGCCGTCAATATCTAAAACCCTAGCTGTTTTCCTACTTAATATAGTCTTACCTAATTAATATAGCAAAACCTTATTGATATAGTGATATGCATTACAAGTGAAAATCCTGTCACGTGATGGCTTCGTGTTACGATGTAGCCACACCACTGCGTTACAGCACTAACTGTGTAATACACACGGTCACACAACCTTGTGCGGCACCCCCTTTTTCACAAGGTCACGTGTAACCCCGTTACACTATTCCCCAACAAAACTATGATTATCCTCAATTCGCATTTAACAGTCGTCTCATACGAGGCTCGAGTGTCCAAGACACATTCACGTTCACAATAATAGCTTGAAACCTTCTCCGCTCTATGAGCACTGTGTGTGCGGCACGCAAAACACCCAGTCTAGCTGGTAGCGAGGGCGCCAGAGGGCAAATCCCTTCTTCTTCTACTACTACGCTAGGTGCATCTCCGGGCAGTACATCCGCGGCTTCACGGGAAGCACATCCCGAGCCCTCAGCAACTGGGTGCAACACACAGCGCCTTCCCGGGCGACGGATTTCCTCATCGAGGAGTTGGAAGAAGTCGACTACGATTCGGACACTCCTTTCCCAGCATAGGATGACGAGGATGATGAAGTGCGCCGATGGCGCGACGTAAGCCCAGTCCAAACCCTGTGAAAACCATGTCCGGTTCCCGACCTATCGAGACCAATGGTAGCACGTACTAGGCGTCGTCCAGTGCCCCCACTCCCTGCTCCATCGAAGCCTAGATGTTATTGACAACACCCGACGAAGAGCTGTAGTTTTCACAGTCTTCCTCCACTGGATAACGTAAAACGCCACGCGCATCAGAAGAGCCTTACCCAGAATGCCTTTGCCACACCATGTCACTCTTGGAATGCAGCATCTGCTTCGAAACGTGAGCAGTGCTCTGTGGTTTACGTGCCACTCCACGTGCATCATAAGGGTCTCGCCCTTGATGCCTCGGCCCTTCGCCGACAATGCCACTCTTGGCATGCAGCGACTGCTCCAATACTTGAGCAGCGCTCAGTGGAATAAGTGCCACACCACGTTCAGCTCGCGAGCCACGCTCGGAACTACTGTCCAAAACACCTTTGGTGTTTGACAACTCGAATACTGCGATATCCCCCCGCGCCAATAGCACTTTCGCTTCACAGCAGAGGTGGGTTCATGACCCACCAAAGCTCCACCAGGAGACGTGCGCGTAGCGCCCAAAGTCTTCGACCTCCAATCAATCCATGGCTTGTGGTGCTCTAGTCATGTCAAACAAAGATACGGTCGTACCTTTCACCCGAGTCTTAGACTAGACAGCGTTCCACGCTATCAAAGTCAAGGAACTTGACACCGAGATCCACAGGGACCCTCGGCACAGTGACATAAGTCCCCGTTGCTAAGCGAACAGTGACGATGTCACTTAACCGTTTTTAGTGCCTCAGCATAGAGCTGACTTCCTTCCATCGTGGAGGGTCAAGCTTTATTGACCGACGATCCATAATTGATAAGGATCTTCCATGACTTCTCAAAGCCGTTCACGGTCGCTTTTACGACCAGCAAGCCCAGCTCGGAAAAACTTCCGTGTTCAAGAGCACGGAGCTCTTCGGGGATGGGCCCCACTAAGCTATACCTCTTTGAGGCGCAAGAGAAATCAGTTCTTCCCAAGTAGGACACCCGCGCCAACTGGGTGTTGTCGTACCTCTGTGACAAACCACATAAGTGTATAGCAAGGTGTCGGTTCGATGATCCTCGACGCGCCTTGCGCAGGATATAACCAGTCCGAATATAAAGGGTGTCTCTTCAGATAAAACATCGCCGGGTGTTTAAGCGCTGTCCGATAGCTCGAAGATCTGCTTCCTCCTTCTCAGCATAGCTGAAATCCATTGGCTCACGCTCGATCGACGAGCTCTGAGGGTGCGCATTCCAGCCAAGTCGTGCCGACTTGAAGTTGAACCCGACATTCAATGCCGCATTCACCGCTTTTTCAAAAGAAGACGGATGAATGCACACGGAAGAATGCCCTGTGCGGAGGCAATCCATAAAAACGTCACCGTGACCGCCTCGGGAGGAGGATTGTTTGTAATCCCGGTAATGAGAGCTCTCAACTCGTGGACAAAGCCCACCAATTTCGTTTTGCCCTGTCGGGCGGGTAGGAAACGCGTTCACACGCGATTTGCCTGGTAAGGCGGCGTGAAGACTCGTAGAAGCTTCAGCTCCGTCCAGGAGGTAAACGCCGCTTCAACCGAAGTACCGCAAGTCAGTGCCCATTCTCGCGCTTGGCCACCATACTTGGAGATTGCTAGCGCTACGCGCTGTTGCTTGTTCTGGAGTATAACGGATGCTATTACCATCTCGGCATATCTCACACAGAGCAGGATTTTCTTTACCCTTACCTTCGAAGGTCTTGAGTTCACCATGAGCGGCCTGATTTGGGAGGAGTCATTCGTCGTTGATGATGCGCCATGGACGCAGTCGACGCCAACATCTTTTACTGTAGATGCTCTAGCAGAGCATTTCCATAGCTCTAGGCGCGCGCTTATCGCTTCAGGTCATTGCAAAGCAATGCGTTGCACGCCCTCAGGGCCAAGCCGGGACCTCAGCTTTTTAAGCTCGTTCTGCATGCCTGGGACAGCTCCATCTTCACAGAGGATCAGTCGTAACGACGCAGGTGTAGATTGACCAACAAGTGCTTTCAAATGCAGCGGGTTTGCGAAGATCTTTGTTCGAGAAAGGTAAGCCAAGGTCACTGACTTTACGTTCTATAATAGAACCAGTATGAGTGTAGCGGATCGCAACCCGCTAACTCCAACAGTACCCGAAACCTTAAACCAAGGCAGATGCGTTCTTTCTTTCAAAATCTAAACTCTATTTATCTGTTTTATTTGCGGCAAAGCCGCCTATCCAAATCTGTAGGTTTTCCTAATTGAAAACTAGAACATAATTCATATGCATAACTACTGGCTGCATGTAACCCTGTTACACTTCGTGTGCTTGCTTGCCATTCCCACGATCCGCTCTCACAAGCCGTTCGAATTTGATGCTATCGGACAGAGATGAGCAGTGTTCGCACTATTATCTTCAGCTGAGCTCCATCTGCTAGGAGTCAATATGGCTTTAGGCCACCGGAGGATCTTAAAGATCTTCAGTGCGATGACGTAGCTAGGAGAACGCATCCAAAAACTAGCCAATTTCAGCATGGACTTCAAGCTAAAATCTACGGATTGCGTTGTCGTGCATCTTTGATTTAAATACCTTTCTGGACAACGTGTGTGTGACTGATACCATAGCTTGGATTGCATAATATATATGTATTGATACCGTTTGGCTAATCGGTAGTGCTGTTTCTTCGTTTTTTTCTTTTAATTAGTGTCCTACACAAATACACTGGATCCCAAACTTTACGTCAGAGTCTTTCAAGTGCTGAATCTATATTTTACAAATCTTAGTTAAGTAAAAACATCCGTGGTATAAAATGGTCATAGCCGTAAAGCCGAGGTAACGTGGCGGCGCATGCAAATAAATACCGGCACGTAACAATAATCACGCGATATGGTGTGCTTAGAGTTGGATGGATTGGGACGGGCGTCATGGGCACAAGCATGGTTGGCCACATTTTGGTACGTCGTGGCAAAGATAAACACCAGCAATTTTGGCATAATTTATCCATGTCACCCAAATTAGAAACACGGCTACGACGTGACGATATTTAATCGCACGCTTTCAAAGTGCGACGGACTTAAGAAACAGGGAGCATCTGTAGCAGATTCTCCTGCCGAGGTAGCTAAGGTTTCAGGTCAGTCTGCCTGCGTCAACATAATCCGATGGCGATGATTATTAATCACAAATCTGCTTTTGCAATTTTATCCAGATATCGTCTTTGGTATTGTGGGCTACCCAAAGGATGTGCGCAAGGTATTTCTTGATCCTGACTGGGGTGTGCTGGCGTCTTTGAAGTCGGGCGGCGTGATCGTTGACATGACGACAAGCGAGCCGTCGTTGGCGAAAGAGATCTATGACGCTGCGAAGCTCAAAGGAATTTCGAGTCTTGACGCTCCCGTTTCAGGCGGAGACGTTGGTGCTAAAGAGGCTACGCTTTCCATCATGGTGGGCGGTGATCATGATACGATGGAAGCCACAATGCCGTTGTTCGAGATTATGGGTAAAAACATCCGTCACATGGGTGGCGCGGGTGCTGGCCAGCATACAAAAATGGTAAATCAAATACTTATTGCTACCAATATGATTGGCGTTGTTGAGGGCCTTTTGTACGCCCAAAAGAGTGGGCTGGATATCGCGGAAGCAATTCGAGCTGTGAGCGCTGGTGCTGCCGGTTCTTGGTCAATAAGCAACCTTGGACCTCGTATTGCCAATCGAAACTTTGACCCCGGCTTTTTTGTGGAGCACTTCGTAAAAGACATGGGAATAGCGCTCAAAGAGGCCGAGCGGTGAGGATTGCAGCTATCTTGTTTATTGGTACAATTGTCTTAGTTTTATTTGTATGACATCTTGTGCTTGGTTAGCATGAATCTGTCGCTTCCTGGTCTCGCCTTAGCCAACCAGTTATATGTTGCAGTCAAGGCTCAAGGTCACGGTCGCTTAGGAACGCAGTCTCTCATGCTCGCGCTGGAGCAACTAAACGGCATTAATTTTTGTTAACCGTAGTTGATTGGTGCATTTTAAGCAACCATAAATGCAAAACTTCATTTTTTTATTCAATAACGTCTTGCTAAAATGACCCTGGACGATAATGAGCTTATGCAGCCTCTCGTTGGTGCACAGACAGAAGTCACGCCGTCGCTTAGCGCCAACGAAAATCACATGATATGTGACCCTCCAATGAATGAGAATGCGGAAGAGGAAAAGGAAGATGCACCGCGAGGTCAGAGTATCCGTCCACAGCAGGGACAACAGAAGCTTCCATATGCAGCGCTGAATATACATCCTTACGCCGTACCCCAGTATCAGCCACAAGGCTACGGTGGCGGTTCTACTTCTGGTTGGGGAGGAGGCCAAGACGACGAAAGTGAGGAAAAATCGATCACGGTGGACATAGTTTTCAGTGGCATGTACACATTGGCTGCTGCGCTTACTATCATTCAGGGTTTCGGCATGCTCATTTACTTTACATATGCTTCCGGTAGGGTGCCGGCTGTTCTTTGAATTTCTAGTATGCCTCACGTTTGTTCATTTACATGCTCATATCCTTTGCTATGCATTAGTTTCTTTGGGCCTTTACACCATGGCTTTCGGTAAATACCCTAATTTATCTTGAGTTGAGAAAGCTAACTGGATTAATTTTATTGCTTGAGCGATTTGTAGGTACAGCAGTTATCATGTATGACCTCAAATCGGTGGTAAATGGCGTGAGCGTGGAGCTGTACTTGCCATTTCTAGGCAGCTACATTGGCCGCGCGGTGACAATCTTCTTCTTTGCAGTGTTAAGTGCGCAGACGTACCAATACGCTGGATGGACCAAGTTCATCGTGCTGTACAATTTGTTGGTCGCTTCACTGCAAGGATTCGTATTTCTTACGACGAAGACTGTGTCACAAAACCAGCCGCAGCTGGATGATATCCCTGACTTGTAGAACGAAGAGTAGATGTTGAAGATGCATCTAATATTAATTAAGTTTCGCATAAGGTGTTGTGGAAGAAACTTCGTATCGTCGCATAGTCGTGAAGCTGCTGTGCATTTTCTGTTCAGGAATACTCTTTCAAAATGATACCATTACCGGTATATCTAGATTATAGAATTTCCGCAGCATATATCTGATATAGAAGCAGTCGAGAAGCGATGCGAAGTTTCGAGATAAAAATTAATCAAGGCGGTTGCCCACCTCGCAAGCAGATTTTTCTCCCCCACACTCTCTCATTTACCAATTTTCTTCCAGAGTAACAAGTGCAAGACTACTTAACACACAATCATGCAGATTTTCGTCAAGACGCTAACGGGAAAGACGATCACCTTAGACGTCGAACCCTCGGACTCTATTGACAATGTGAAGCAGAAGATTCAAGACAAGG